GCTGGACACCTACCTGGATCCCTATGCTGCTTTTTCTAAGACAAGAATTCAAAATCAGCCTCTATTTTATTTTAGTTCCATAAAATAATTAGCTTCTCTGTTGCTCAACTGCAGATATAGTTGCCTTGACCGCACCAGCCCTCCTCACCACCGACAGGAAATAGACATGCATAAAACCAGTGTGTTTCTTTGAATCCCCCCAAGCAAAGGTTCCAGCTGCATGTCCATGTCTTGATCCCCTATCATGTCGTCATTTGAGTCTTGTGAGGGCAAAACCTTTTGTATCAAGACAAGAGGCGGGCATTTATCTAACTGATTACAGGTGAGGATTCAGGGTCATCTGTGTGGGAACCATAGAAAGATGTGCCCTTAAAGGAAGAAGCAGCTTCAAACCTCAAATACAGCACACACCCTAAGAACTGAAGCGGACTCAGGTGGCTGGTTAAGGAAAGAAAGATGACAAGGAAGAAAGAAAGGAAGACAAAGAAGGAGCAGCGGAAAGAGGGAGGCAGCAAGAAAGGGAAGGAAGGGCCAAGGGAAAGGAAGAAAACTTGAGGTAGTCAGGAACCTACAGGATTTTATAAATAAGTCGTGGAAATAGGCCTCCCGGTTGGTGCAGCAATTTGTCCGCGGCCTCTGCAGTGCCAGTTCGATCCCAAGCCAGCCATGGAGCTACCCACATGGCGCACAGACCTCTCCTGTCTCGCCCGCTGCTCCCCTCAGCAGTGTCTTTGGTCTGTCTGCCTGTTCTGCTCCCTGCTCTGTCTCTGGTGAGTCCTCTCACCCTCCCACGCCTCTGGCCTGTACCCCGGCTCTTGTATAAATAAATAAAATCTTTAAAAAAATGTCATGGAAATAATGAAAGCTGGTTTTTCCAAATGAATCGAATAAAGAGGATTTTAAAAATGCTTCTGTTTTTTCCAAGTTGTGTCCTGGCCCAGTCAAATTCCCCTCAAGATGGAGAGAACTGGGCAACCCTGTAGGCGAAGGTCTGCAGTCCCGGAGGTTGTGTGAGTCAGGGGCTTGGCTCCAAGCGCAACTGCTCTGAGGGGCCCCTCTGGAGGGCGTGCTGTGGGCGTTCAGACTATTCTTGCTGCTGGTCAGAAACAGTTCTCAGAAAGTCAGTTCACGCCAAGGTCATTCTCTTCATAATTTGATGAGCAATCTGCAGAAGAATGGAGCAGGACCCAAGATTTGAATCCTGACTCCAAAAATATTCTGCCAGCACAGTTGTCTCCTCTTGGGGCTAAACTTGTCCTTCAGGAAACTAGAGGGAGGTGAGCTCCTCGTGAAGATTCTTGCACATGAGAAACCCAGCTTCTTCGTGGTACCCAAACGTCCATGCCAGCACAGGGGAAATGTTGCACCTGGACAAAAGAGTGACCCCCAGCTGCTGTTGACAGTCAGATCAAGGCAAAACCAGGAAGGCTGGGGTGGGTATCTGAAGGCCTCATTCTCAGCCTCCTTGGGGCCAGCGTTGTCTCCATCTATCAGTACCCACCACACTTAGCCTCTGCCTACCCATGGCGCAGCCCTCCCTTAGCAGCTTCAGCCAATAGTCTGCTCTCATGAGGCTCCCAGGTATTCTCTACACCCTTTATCCCCAAGCAGAACAAACCAACTCCAGTCTTGGGAATTTACCCAGCGACTGACTGGAGGGCACTTGGGCAGCACTTGCTGCAGGGGAGGAGGGCATAGGCTTTGGCATCAGATGGCTCAAGTGCCAGCTCTGTACATCCCCTGTTGGTGACCTTAGGAAAGTAACTTAACCTGAGACTCAGCCTCCCCACGTCTGAAGTAGTGATAACAAAAACAGGGTCTTTGTAGGGTTAAATTATGTCATCTCCTTGAGGACAGTCTGTTTTATGCAACAATGTTTAGCCCACAGTCAGCACTGAGTAAATATTTACTAAACCCATGCAAAAGGGCTTTCCCAGTGTGTAGCCCAAAGAAGCTACACATAAGTGGACAGTATTATCTTCCTTATCTTATTTTCTGCCTCTCCTTACACAGAGGAGCTTATTTTGACCACTGTATCAGTCGGGGCTGTGGCAGGAAACAGATGGTGTCTTCCAGTTGGGGAGCATTTCATGAAGAAACCATTTGCAGGGGTGAGGACAGGATTAAGGGAACCAGCAGTGGATGGTCAAACACTTTAGAACTAACAACAGCGAGAGATGCCACCTCCCCTAGACACAAAGGGTCTACTGCCACCAGGTCCCTGAGAGACAGCTACGGCCGGCCGAGAGGGCAGTTCCAAAGGTGCCAAATTCCTCAGTGCAGAAGGGAAGCAAGGAGGGTGACAGGAGAATGACCACCTCACATTTCCTCTCCTCCCACCCTCTATTCTGGTAACAACCAAACCCAGTGCTCCCCCAGTGAGTCCACATGGGTCAGCTTCTACAGAGCAGAATGGAGGATACCACAGAGCTGGTGCAAATGGAGAAAATCCAGGACACCGGTGAAATCACTCAAGAGTTTATGTTCACAGCCACCTTTCCCCGTCTGCATCGGTTCTTTAGCAGATCTATACTACAAAAGACAAGATCTTCTCATAAAAACCGACACCAAATGGAAAATCTGAAATTTCACCTTGTATTTCTTCCTGCTGGGAGAACCTAACCATCTGGGTCCCAGTTGTTCGAGGCAGTTGATTCCACAGCTGTCTGGTCTCACACTACAAATTTGTACATGTGAATTCTAGCAATGGATACATCCTTTGTGCTTTGAACAAAGTAAAAGGTGAATCCAGGCATGAATAACCTATAGATGAACGTTTTTATTGGTTGCAATATTCGGGTAAATTTTTAGATTAAAATTAACTCCTATAATATATGTAATAGCTAATTACATATATTTACATATCACCTTGGTCATGCATATTGTATTTGTAACAAGACTGAAAGAAAATGGTAGACTTCTGAACTGCATCAGTTCACTGTTGAAGGGCTTACATACTTGTAAGGAGCAGCCAGAAGCCAACTCTGCAGAGAGCACCTGCATGTTGAAGGCACTCACTTTCACACCACTGCACAATTCAGTTTGGGGGGATGACCTGCTCCCTGGTATCCATTCCCACTAAACCAACTAGCAGCCTGGAGGCCCACGGCCTTCAATGGACATGAAACACAGCATTGATGCCTGGACACAGAGCGGCCCTTTTCAGGGTGGGCTTCATCTGCTAAGTAGATGCCATTACAGTAAGCAGATAATCATATTTAAATGAAAGCATATCCACAGTGAGAGGGAGTTCTTCAATAAGGCTGCTTCAATCTGGTTACTTATTCCTAGGAAAATAGCAGTATTTATAAATGAATGGTTCAATGAAGGCAAATGATGAGGATAGCAAAAAAAAATTATGCAGCATTTATCTTGTTCTAGAAACTACATGAAGGGCTTCACATAGATTATCTCACCACACTCCCACCAGATAAGCATATGTTGTAGATTTTATTTTATAGATGTGGGGAACAAAGCCAAGTGATATTAAGTTACTTGCCCAAGATAACAAAGCAGAGAGTGAAAGAGCTATCACAACTTAAGTAGTATAATTGCAGATTGTTCTTTTAACCATTGAGCAATTCTGCCTCTGCCCGGGCCCCTTAAATATTCACAGAGCAGGGAAAAAAAGAAAACAGGGATAGTGCAAGTCAGAACAGCATTCTTCAGAGAATGGAGTGAGTGAATTCTTCCTTCTATTTTCTAGTTTGTCTCTTTTCCTGAACTGATTTAGGAATCAATATATTAACTTCATAATGGTCAATATAAACCTTATGTCAAAAGGCCACTTTAGGGGTCTGGTTCCATTACTCAAGGATGATTCCCCTAGCCCATGCCTCCCTCAGGTGACAACTACACGTCCTGTGCAGCAAAGGCCAAAAGCAGGCATACATGCATGTTGTTAATTGCTTTTCAACTGAGGTGACAAGCCAATTCAAAGAGGAAAGAACAGCCATTCCAACCAGTGTACTGGATCAACTGGATACCCATAGGAGGAAAAGATGAAAATTGATCCTTTGCTCTCATCATATACAAAAATTAACCTTGAAGTGAAAGATAGCCTTCCATGTAAAATCTAAAATTATTAAATAAAGTCTGGAAGACGGGCCTCCCCTGATGGCACAGCGGTTGAACGCTGGGCTGCGAGGCTGCCCACAGCCTCTACAGCGCCGGTTCGATCCCCGGCCAACGGCGAGGGTCCCACAAAAAAAAAAAAAAAAAAAAAAAAAAAGTCTGGAAGACATTACCTTGGGGTAGGTAAAGTTTTCTTAGGTAGAAAACAAAAATACTAAACCATTTTTTAAAACTGTTTTTGGAGGGCCTCCCCTGGTGACACAGGCGGTTGAACGCAGCGCTGTGAAGCTGTCCACAGCCTCTGCAGGGCAGGTTTGATCCTGGCCAGCCGGCGAGGGTCCCACATGGTGCAGCAGACCTCTCCGCACTCACCCGCTGCTCCCCTCAGCAGTGTATTTCATCAGTCTGCCTGTTCTGTTCCCCACTCTGTCTCTGGTGAATCCTCTCACCCTGCCGTACATCTGGCCTGTACCCCGGTTCTTGTATAAATAAATAATCTTAAAAAAAAACCTGTTTTTGGATCAGTACTACTTTAACACAAGTAAACACCTATATTCTTTGAAAAATATCATTAAGGAAACATATAGGCAAGTCACTAGCTGGAAAAAAATATTCAAGACACTTGTATATAGGATTCATACAAATCACTAAGAAGAAACCAACAACTTATTTAATATCATATTTTTAAAAATTGATTCTTCAAAAAAGAAGTAAAGGGCCAAAACAAATAAAAATGTGTTCAACACCATTTATTAATCATCAGAGGAATGTGAATTTAAGTCACAATGAAATGCCATTACACATTCACCAGAATGACTCAAATTAAAAAGGCTGACCATACCAAGTATAGGTGAAGCTGCAGAGTAACTGGAACTCTCAAAATTATCAGTGGAAATATAAAATTATGTAATTTTTTTAAATTAAGCATTTTTATTCTTACATTGTTGTTCATTTGTGTGTAGTATTTGATCTCTCTGCTCAGGGGTAGTCTCCATGAATCTCCCACAATAAGACAAAAAAGAAACAAGGACAAAAGATCTAGACCTCATAGGTGTAACAAGCATGTATAGGACGCTGCACCTGAAAAAAAAAAAAAAAAAACTGACTACACTTTTTTCTCAAGTGCACACAGATCATTCTTCAGGATAGACCACGTACTAGGCCACAAGACAAACATCAACAAATACATGAAGATAGATACCATACCAGCTATATTCTCTGACCTCAAAGGTATCAAACTACAAAAAGAAAGCAAGGAACACCCCCATTACAGGAGCTGGAGAACATGCTAACAAAAAACCACTGGATCAATGAGGAAATCAAAGAGGAAATTCAACAATACATTGACACAAACGACAAGGAATACACAGATTTTCAGAGGTATGGGACACAGCAAAAGCAATAATAAGAGCAAAATATATATAGCAAAACAGGCCAACATCAAGAAATAAGAACCCCCCCAAATAAACAAATCTCCCATCTTAAAGAACTAGAAAAAGAAGAGCTAAAAAAAAAATCCCAAAAGCCAGAAGAAAGGAAATAATTAAAACACAAGCAGGAATAAATGAAATAGAAATTTAAAAGACAGTCCAAAAGATCAATGAAACCAAAAGTTAGTTCTTTGAAAAAAAAATTACATTAAATGAAAACCACAAAGGACTATGGTGATGGTTCACGGGAGAATTAGTGGTGGGAATTTTACAGGGACTACACCTGAAAGTAGAAAACATACAAGCAGACATTGTACAAAAATGAACGATGTAAATTATACATATTTTTATATATAAAATATACATGCTTTATGTATTTATATATATATATATATATATATATAATTATATAATTTTGTAAAGCAGTCTGGCAGTTTCTTCAAAGGTTAAACATAAACCTACATTCAGCCCCACCATTCCACACAGAAGTATGCACACAAGAGAAAAGAAAACCTATTTCTACTCAAAGACATGAACATATGTGTTCATAGTACCTTTATATGCAATAGTGAAAAACTGGAAACAACTCAAATATCTACCACCAGGTGAATAAATTGTGGTATATCTAGCAAATGAAATACTACTCAGCAATAAAATGGAGTAATTTTTTTTTTTTTTGCTTTAGAGGATTTTTATTATTTTTTTATTTTTTTAATTGAAGTAATGTTATTTTTTTTTATTTTTTACATCAATGTTCATCTTTAAACAATATTTGCTTTCCCCCACCCCCACACAGGTGGAGTCCCCATAGAATTTCCTTCACTAATGTACTCATGCACCATCCCCTGTGCTCCTCCATCCCTCCCTCTGATCCCTCTCCCTCCTCCTCCCCTGCAGTAGGGCTCTGATTTATGTCTGTTTTTGCTTTGTTGTGTTTTGTACTGTTGTTATTTTTTTACACTGATGTCTTATTGGGTTCCCTTATATTCCTGCTATAAGTGAAACCATCTGATATTTTTTTCTTTTTCCTTCTGGCTTATTTCACTGAGCATAATTCCTTCTAGCTCTATCCACATTGCTGTGAATGGCATGACTTTATCTTTTTTGATTGCTGAATAATATTCCATTGTCTGTGTGCCATATCTTCTTGATCCAGTCATCTATTTTGGAGCATTTGGGTTGTTTCTAGGTTTTACCTATTGTAAATAGTGCTGCAATAAACACAGGGGAACAGGTGCTCTTTTGGATCAATATTTTTGTGTCCTTTGGGTAGATCCCTAGCAGTGGAACTGCTGGGTCATATGGTAGCTTCAAAATGGAGTAAAATATTGATACACACAACAAGAATCTCAAGGTCATCATGCTAATAAATTTCCCTCGAAATGTATGATTTCATTTACATAAAATTGTTTAAATGCAAACTAGTATGCAGTGACAAAATGTAGACCAGAGGATAAGGGTGAAGGAAGGAATGGATTATAAAGGGACATGAGAGAGGTTTGAGGAGTAATGGAAATGTTTGTTGTCTTGACTATGGTGGTGGTTTCATGATTATATATATTTGTAAAAGTTAATCAAGTTATATACTTTAAATATATGCAGTTTGTAAGATATTTGTAAAGTAGCTTAAAAAAAAAAAAACAAACAACCCTTTTCTGCCGAGCTGCTCTTAGGAACTAGAACTAGATAGCAAATGATAGCCTCAATACCAGCACCCTAATTTGCTCTTCCTTGCTCATGTCTGGGGCTTTAAATGGCAATTCTGATTCACCATCCTGAGCTACTCTTCCATTTTTCTCTTTGCCTTACAAATTTGTCTTTCATTTGTAGAGTCCTTTATTGTTTTGTTTTTTTTTCCACAGAGTTTTTACTGCAGTATGGAGACATTAGAACACTTAACTTACGTGAGAATTCAACTATAGACATGAAGCAATAAAGAAAGGCAAAGTCAGTATCTTCAGGGAAAACAGAACAATGCAAGGAGCAGATGGTTCAATCAGCCATTCCATCCCGAGTCAAAGATGCCTCCAAATTGCCCAAATGGCTCTCATTTAGGAGAATCTCACCATTTGAAGTGAAATACTAGTCATTTAAAACATACAATTTTGTGCAACACGGTTTCTAAATGCATGACACTGCTCTGTCTTATACACAACCAAAGAAACAATGAGCTATCCCAGAACTGGGGAAAATAGTGGTTGTGTCCTAATCTCCCTCGTAGTCATAAGGATAATTGTACTGGGGCCTCCCCTGGTGACGCAGCAGCTGAGCACTGGGCTGCGAAGCTGCCCGCAGCCTCTGCAGCGCCAGTTCGATTCCCGGCCGCCGGCGAGGGTCCCACATGGCACACAGACCTCTTCTGCCACATCCGCTGCTCCCCTCAGCGGTGTATTTCGTCAGTCTGCCCGTTCTGTTCCCTGCTCTGGCTCTGGTGAATTCTCTCACCCTTCCATGCTTCTGACTGTACCTAGTGCTTGTATAAATAAATAAATAAATAAATAAATAAATCTTTAAAAAAAAAATAAGGGTAATTGTGCTGTACCTGATCGCACCCTCAGTGCTGACTTTAGATCCCTCATGTAAAATGAAACTTGACTTCATTTTTTTTAAGTGGCAAGTATTTTTATTCATATTTCACAGATGAGGAGATGGAGCCTTAGGCGATCATGATTTGCTAGTTACATAGCTCATAGGGACAGCCTGGTTCCAAGAAGCCACATCTGCAGAGAACAGGTTGAACCTTGAACCATATGCACATACTGCCATTTTGCTTATCAGACAGAAGCATTACTTGTATCGCTTATGACCTGGATCTATGCAGAGTCTTGAGAATTTTCACAGCAACACTCATTATTTTTACAATGAGAGCAGAAGTTCCTGCTAGTCACTCCTGGCTCTTTTCTAAAACTGTTTTCCCTCCTGATTCCAAAAAGAAATTATTTTAGCCAAACATGGTAACCCTAAGATTCTTACTTTCCAATCATAGTCAAAACTTATTTTAATTCACGACCAACCTGTCAGTTATCTGAGATCTGGAAAGAAGGAACAAAGATGAGGTCAAGTTACGATCATGTGATTTCACAAACTCAAAGGAACCAACATCCTGAGAGAGGGTCCAAAGTGCCCAGAGGCAAAGGAAAGGCCAAGCACATATCCACACCTCCAGGTGTCAGACACTCTCAAGACAACAATGCTCGCCTTGTCATTTGTATGCACTCTACCTACAGTGCTTAAGAAGGGCTGGGGGTTTCAACTAGAACATGAAGAATAACCTCTTTTAAGGCTCTTTGAAAGTGTATATCTACACAGTGAGGTGAAGAAATGAACACAATGACCTACAGGGACAATTTTCACTTAAAAAACTAAAAACTAACTGTTCCCCAGTCCATTCACCAACACATGGGTTGCCATTAAAATTCACTTTGCAAAGAGTGGCAAAGCTGCCAGAGACCCTGGCTACTGGCCAAATCATTGACGGATTCAGATTTAACGAGTGTCTCTGCCCCAACGTGGTGACTAGGATAGAAAACATCCCATGTCTGATGCAGACAAGTAGAGACTGGTTCCCCCAGACAGGATGTATACACTGGAGGAGAGAGAGAATAAACCTGGAGTTACACTTTGAATAAAAATGTTTTTCCTGGCCCTTATTAGTTTCCATTCTATAAGAAAACAGAGGAGTTTAGCAAGACCAGTTCACACAGTCAGCTTTACAAATTTGGTAGAAATCTCAATTACATTGACTGAGGTTGGAGAGTTTCCCTGAGCACCAGTGTTTGGGGCGACACTCTTTACGCTCACTGTTCTCTCACTAAACTCAGCTGCAGGGTAGAGAGAGAATCAGAAGCAGTCAGGGTGCCTGAGGTCTCCTAGGTCAGAAAGATGGTGAGGTGTGATGGTTACGACAGACGCGTAACCCAGAATGGTAATTTCCTTGTCTGCTTGTACAAGCGTCTCATCAGAGGGAAGGGAAGCTCAGTAAGGTTATGATGGCAATCTGGGTCCTTGTTTAGTGAGTCTTGTCCAATAGGCACCAGGCCTGGGGCTTGTTCTGAGGATTTTCTTGGATTGTATCATCGTTTTAAATCAAGTAATGGTTCCACCTATACATCTCATGTCTTCTCTTCTGGCTCAGTGGCAACCCAAGACCGTAACAAACAGGACACTAAAACTCAGCAGATGAAGGAATGTCAGGAAAGTAAACAAATTTGCTTTTTCCAATTGTTCTCTTTTCCTTAATGGAAGCAAGAAAGAGAGGAGGAGGACTTTGAACTAAACACAGAAATTTTCCAACGACACTTATCTAGCCAGTTCCCGCCAAGGATCACTGGCTGTCAGAACAATCAGTCGGCCTGAGTTCAGGATGGTTTGTATATGATCCTGCTCCTGGCAGAGCTGCCACTGCATTTTTTTTCAGCTGTTTTCCAACTGCCCGAAAGGGACAAGGAGTAAAATGCAAAGCACTCACTCGCCTTGGCCAGGTGGGAGGAGCAGAGAGACAAACAGCAGTATTGTTTCTTTCTCAAACGTGTGATGGTCTTTTCTAAGCCTTTCCCTAGGGCATGTACTGCTGGATTGCTTACAGTCTTGGACACCCAACCTTTGGGAATAGTTCTCTAAGTGGGGGTGATTTGTACTAAGTTTGAACTA